AGGGATTTAAGTAGAGGTCTATCACCAGAATAATTTCTATTTCACCATGCTTTGTAATAATTCTCTTTGTAATAATACTTGTTAGAATTTGTATATACAAATTTTTGTTACACTTAACTAAGGCATACCATTAAAAATTCACTTATGAAAGCTAAAAAAGAAAAAGTATGGCTAGCTGAATTATTTGGAAGATCTAATTTACTGGTGTTACAATGAAGCTAAAAAGGTATGAACTTAGCCTCATTAAGAATTGGTGTGTATTTACTTTAGGGCCACAGACTATAACAGAGGCACTAAAGCTTTTAAAAATCAAGAGCAAGTACTCTGGAGTAATACTTGAGTTGTAAACCTAATTTGGCCCTTTATTACTTACATAATCTTGGGCAGGATTCTTAATCTCTTTTAGCTTCATATAAGCTTTTCTATAAAATATGAAAAATATTTTTAAAAATTTTTATTTAAATTCAATTTAGTTAACATACAGTGTCTTATTAGTTTCAGGGGTAGAATTTAGGATTCATCATCTGCATATAACACCCAGTGCTCATTACATCAAGTGCCTTCCTTACTGCCCTTCACCAACCACCCTACCCTAAAATGTGAGTATTATGGTGTCACCAAAAGGATTAAATGAGATAATGTATATAAAGCAGTTGTCACTATCTCTGAAACATGTAAGTGCTCAATGGTTATCGGTATTGCTATAATATAATTAGCTAATCATGATTAGCAGTCTTACAAATGAGTACCACTGGTTATGTGTAACCTTCATTAAATTCTCTAGAAAAACATACTGTGCTTGCCTGCAGATTTCAGGTCATTAACATTATTTTTAAAATATAAAATTTATTTGAAGCATTAAAGGCAAGAGTCCTTTGAACTTTTACTTTCTCCCTCAGAGCCTTGCTTAAAAATAAGTGTCATTTGGATATTCTCAGAGTATATTTTAACTAGACAACTGGAGAACAAAAATCAATGACCATAAAGACTAGATTTATAAAAACATGTGCAAAAGAAACACTATACACATGTGAGTATAATATTTTATGGCTATAATGGAATCTTTGTAACAGTTTCTAAGTAGTATAAGATGATCTACCCTGAATTCTGCCTAAAGAGTTCTAGTTACTAAAGCATAAACTAAAGTAGTGCCAGTGTGATTCTACTTAGTGAACCCTAAATGACATTATATTGAAGCCACATATTTGAGGGTAAGTTTGAATGACGCAATTAGAGCCAGACAGAAATAGGGGAGGCTTAATGGAAGAATTGGTCCTACCTATGTAATAAGTTGTTTTTTTTTTTTAAGATTTTGTTTATTTATTTGACAGAGATCACAAGTAGGCAGAGAGGCAGGCAGAAAGAGAGGAAAATAAGCAGGCTCCCTGCCAAGCAGAGAGCCCAACGAGGGGCTCGATCCCAGGACCCTGGGATCATGACCCAAGCCGAAGGCAGAGGCTTTAACCCACTGAGCCACCCAGGTGCCCCTGATATAAGTTTTTATTACCAATTTTCCAATTACATCTGAAGTGTGAACTGTCACCCAATGGCATTAAGTCAGAAAGACTATCCCTCCCTCAGTCTCAACTAAATAGAAGTGCTCCAGATAGACACTAATGAATGGCACAGTGAGGACTTCAGCGAACCTACAGACCCACAAAAACCACCAAAAACAATGTAAGCTGGCATAAGAAAGAATAAGTGAATGTAAAGGTAGATCAATAGAGATTATCCAGGAGCGCCTGGGGGTGGAGGACTCAGTTGCTCAAGAGTCTGCTTTCGGCTCAGGTCATGATCCCAGGACCCTGGGACTGAGCCCCATGTGGGGGGTGGAGGGAGGGGTCCCTGATTCTCCCTCTTCCTCTGTCCCAACCCCCCCTTGTGCTCTCTTTTTCAAATAAATAAAAATCTGAAAAAAAAATTCATTAAAAAAATACATCATAGGATGGAGCCCCACACCAGATTCTTTGCTCAGTGGGGAGCCTGCTTCTTCCTCTCTCTTTGCCTGCCTCTCTGCCTACTTGTGATCTCTGTCAAATAAATAAATAAAATCTTAAAAAAAAATACATCATAAGGGGAAATTCAAACTAATGCAGGAACTGTGGAATGCAGTATGGAGATTCCTCAAAAAATTAAACACAGAACTACTCTACAATCCAGTAATTACACTACTGGGTATTTATCCAAAGAACACAAAAACATTAATTCAAAAAGATATATGCACCTCTGTGTTTACAGCAGTATAATTTACAACAGCCAAATTATGGAAGTAGCCCAAGTGTCCACTGATAAATGAATATGAATAAAGAGATGTGGTATGTGCATATATATACACACAATGGAATATTATATATCCACCCCCCACATACAAAATGGAATATTACTCAGCCATAAGGAAGAATGAAATATTGCCATTTGCAACTATATGAATGAATCTAGAGAGTATAGTACTAAGTGAAATAAGTCAGAGGAAGACAAATACCATATAACTTCACTCATATGTAGAATCTAAAAAAAAGAAAAAAGAACAAAGCAGAAACGAGACAAACCAAAAAACAGACTCTTAATTATAGAGAACAAACCCATAGTTACCACAGGGCAGGTGGGTGGGTGGAATGGGTGAAAACAGATGAAGGGGACTAAGAGTATACTTATCACAGTGATCTTTGAGTAATGTACAGAATTGTTGAATCACTATACTATATACCTGAAACTAATATAACACTGTATATTAACTATACTGAAGTTAAAATTTTTTTAAAAATCTTAAAGAAGAGAAAATACACTTATAGTACTGTACTGTATTTATCAAATAAAATCTGCATTTAAGTAGACCCATACAGTTTAAACTGGTGTTATGTGTTGTACAAGGGTCAACTATACATAAATAGACACTATAAATGTATTTTATTTATAACTCATCTATTCTACTGCTCTACAAGACACCATATAAAGCAATAGTTACAAAATGGTACATGGTGGGCACGTATAAAGATCTACTTTGCGGGACACCTGTATGGCTTAGTCAGTTAAGCATCTGACTCTTGGTTTCAGCTCAGGTCATGATCTTGGAGTTGTGAAACTGAGCCCTGTATCTGGATCCCTACTCAGTGGGGAGTCTGCTTCCCCTTTCCATCTGCCCCCCACCCTCCACTCTGTCTCTATCTCTCTCTCAAATAAATAAATCTTAAAAAAAGAAGATCTAATTTGTATGACAATAAAACCACAAATAATACTATAAAGGAAGTAGGGGAGGCAATGGAGGTATATAGGATCAAAATTTTGTATATTATTGAAATTAAGTTAGTATTAACCAAACTAGATTGTTTTAAGATGCTAACTGTAATCCCTGGATTAACTACTAAAAAAATAAAAAATAAAGTTAAAAAAAAAACCAAAGGTAGGAATGCCTGGGTGGCTTAGTCGGTTAAGCATCTGCTTTTTGCTCAAGTCATGATCCCAGGATCCTGGGATCTTAAAAAAAAAAAAATTAAAATGGTACCTTAGAAAATACCTGTTTAATACAAAAAGCAGTAACAGAGTTAGGGAAATAAAAAGGCATAAAACATACAGAAAATAACAAAATAGCAGATGTAAATCCTACCTTATCTGTAATTACATTAAATGTAAATGGATTAAACACTCCAATCAAAAGGCAGAGATTGTTGAAACTGATGAAAAAAACATGATCCAACTTTTACAAGACACAATTTAGATTCGAAGAAACAGATTAAAAGTAAAAAGATGAAAAATATATATTATGCAAACGGTAACCAAAAGAGAGGTGAATTGCCTATACTAATATCAGACAAATAAACCTGAGAAACTTTCTGGAGTTACAATGATAAGGACCATCCAGATAGATAATATAACAATTATAAACATAAGCAGCTAACAACAGGGTCCCAAAATACATGAAGAAAAACCTGACAGAATTGGAAAGAAATATATAATTCAACAACAATAGCTGGAAACTTCAATATCTCACTTTCAATAATAGATCAACAAGGAAATGGAAGACTTGAACAACATTATGAACCAATTAGACTTTACAGTTTTCTATAGAACATTCCACCAAACAACCACGGAACACGCATTCTTCTCAAGCACACATGAAACATTCTCCAGAATATACTGTCTGTGAGGCCCTAATACAATCCTCAATGAACTTAAAGGATTGAAAACATTCAAAGTATATTCTCCAACTACACTGAAATACTTAGAAATCAGTAACAGAAAGAATGTGGTAGTCACAAATATGTAGAAATTAAACATATTTCTAAAAAATAAAGAAGAAATCACGGGAAAATTAGAAAGTATTTCAGGTGAATGAAAACAAAAACACAACATATCAAAATTTATGGGGAACACGTTAAAACAAAAATTGGTGCATGACTGGTAGGTGAATGTTATAATAGCTCTTGTTACAATAACCCAAAACATCCATCAAATGATTAATGGATAAACAAAATGTGGTATATTCAGAAAATGAACTATAATTCATCCATTAAAAGGAATGAGGTATGGACACATGCAACAACATTGTTGAACCTTGAAAATATTATGTTAAATAAAAGAACCCAGACACAAAAGGCCACATACTATATGATTTTACTTACATTAAATATTCATAACAGGCACATCCATAGGGAAAGAAAGTAGATTAGTAGTTGTCAAGGACTGTGGGGTTGTGGGAATGGAAAGTGACTGCTAATGTGAAGGGGGTTTCCACTTGGGGTGATGAAAAAATTCTAGAACTAGAAGTGGTGATGGTTGCACAGCATTGTGAATGTACTCAATGCCACTGAATAGTACACTTTAAAATGGTTTAAATGGTGAAAGTGTACTTTATCACAATAAAAAAAGTAAAAACATTTTGGAAAAAAAAATGGTTAAGAACACATACTAAAAGTATTTTAAATAGATCTAAAAGAGAACCACCATGATTTCAGCAGAATATCATAAATGTAAAAATTGTCAATATATAATATGTTTCATACTTGTATGTGAGGCCAAGAGGCCTCAAGTGTGGGTTCATCCTCTTCTGGATCAAAATCTGGATTATCACTTGGAGGAAGAGTACGAAAGATGTTAGCACTGATCTGTGAAGAAAAAGAAATTTATATTCTTCATTGTATAATTAAACAATGTAAATGAAATATTTTAAAGATAACTTTAAGAGTTGTGACTATAAGCCTAGTTCAAAACCTAGAAACCTCATCAAGACATGAAGAAGGTAGGCATTTCTTTTTTCTCTATCCCATAACTAGGACTTCTCTTCAGATGTCAACCTACTAAAGATTTAAAGATTTCCTCTGGATTCCTCCTTCCTTAAATTACAAGTTGTTCTTTCCAAGTTTTGCTTAACAGAAAAAAAAAAAAGGAAGGGAGGGGACTATGGAGGAAAAAGCATAAAATTCCTGACTCTACCTTTCTCTAACTTGATCCTTTTCATCTTTCTGCAATTCCCTCCATATTCTAATCCAGCCATTTACTTACCTTACAATCTAAAAGTTTGATAAAAGATCTCTATTCCTATACATACACACCACATTAAGGAGAGGGATGGGAGGGCAGAATACTTTCACTGCTATTACAGACATGGTTTATAATACCCCACTGGGTATTTAATTTAACATAGTTCATCTACTCTTTCTTTTTTTTTTTTTTCAAGGCTTATCCTTCTGAAGTCAGGATGTGAGATTCTTCATTTCAGATTCAATGAAATACAATATTTATAATTTCATCATTCACACTGTCTCAGCACCAACATAAACTTCACATCTTTTTTCACCAGCAAAGGTTAGACTGTGGTGCCAACTCAAAATTCTTTGAAGAATGATGAACAGACTGAGAGACCACTTGGTTTAGTAAACATTTAAGGCCATACTATTAAGGAGTTGGTCACCTGAAATAAACGATTTAGGGAATAAAGGATGAGATAAGAGCTGTTTGGTGGTGCAAGCAAATTTCCAACTATTCTTATGAAGTGCCATCTACGGTCAGCCAAAGAACTGCTAATAGTCAATTAGTACAACCATAAGACTTAGAAAGTAATAACCTAGAATTTGATCTCCTAGAACTCAACATGAAGGCAGAACCGAGAGTTTGATGGATAGGAATTTCACAAAGATGGCAGAAAGTCATAGATAAAACTTGAAAAGGAGATATATCCCATAAGAGGGCATAATTTGCCTTTGAGAGCATACTTATTATTGGTAGTAAAAGAAAAAAAAAATAACCTTGTAGCCAACAACAAAAGTAACTATATGTAACAAATATACCTAAGAGCTTTACAGGGCCAACAGGGTGAGTTGATTTCACACTTACCTAGAAATTAAGTACCCAGAAGTTAAAAAAAAAAAAAAAGACAAAACATACACATCTTTTTTCTTGGGGATAGAACTTAAATCCCAAAATTTATTATTACATAGTAAATTACAGAATAATTTGAGTCAAATATTTGAGCATTTTCAATATGCAAATACTTAAGTCATTTTAATATCCAAGTCAATAACTTTAAGTAATCTCTACACCAAACATGGGGCTTGAACTCACAACTCCAGAATCAAGAATTGCATGCACTACCAACTGAGCCAGCCAGGCACCCACTCAAGTCAGTACTTCTATAGAGATAAAAGTAAAAGTACCTTTTTCCTGTATTTTCAAAATTCATGAACATAAACCATTTGAAATCAGTAAAATGGAAATACTGTTTCCCCCTGAACATATTTTAATGATAAACACAAAACAAAAACCAAGTTTATCAGTATTCAATATTTCCGCTTTCAAACTGTCACTTTTCACTGTCTGTGAGAGTTTCAGAAGCCGATTTTATTTTGATCAATGTTCTCTGTACAGCTGATCTTTTAAAAATTCTTTAAGGCTTCTATTTTCAATTAAAAAAAACCCAATATTTTCTAGTTCAGGAAGATGAAAGAAAACTTAACTAGTATAATAGGGCCAAATTTAACTACATTTTGTTCTTCCTCAGAACATATATTAGTCAAGGGGAAGGAAATGAAGACAAGTACAAATTATACTTGCTATAACCTTCTATACTCGGGTAACATTTAAGCTTCAATTATGTACTCAGTGACTCTCTAATTATTCCAACTAAATTTTTTCTATTTTGTTACTATGCACCAAAATACAAACATCACATCCTAAACAAACTTCTACCATTTGATGGAGAATAAGGTTGAATTATTAATAAACAATATCCTAAACAATCTTACTTTAATAAAGTTAGCAGTATTTTATTTTTCAGAGATTTCATACTTATTTATGTTATTTAACTTTTTAAAGGTCCTGAGTTTTTATTGAAATTCAAGTGTTATAGACATTATAAGTATATTAAAATATTCTAAATATAATTTTTAAGATCTGACTCCTTTATCCAACAGCTGGAATGTAGAGAATTCCATAGTTTTTCATTATTCTTCTCTTTCCACTTTAGACACTCTCTCTTAGTGACAATTCAGCCCTATATGTTAATTATCTATCAGTCTGTATAATCTTAAGCCTACATCTTTCTCCTAAGCCCTGGATCTGCACTATACAATATGGCAGCCACCAGCCACCGTGGCTACTGAATTTTCAAACTATTATAAACAATGACAGCATCTTTGGAATGAATGGATAATCTTTCAAATGGACTATTTTAAAAACATTTTGAGTACACTGATTATTGCACATTTATTAAAAATCAGTCTCAGTAATTCATAATTACACCTTAGATCTTACTTGAATTTATATAAATCTTACCATTTTTACTATATCAGAATATGCTGATTCAACAATTACACCACGATTAGTTGAAACATACTCAACCAGCTCATTCAGTGTTGCTCTTTTAATTTCTTTGCTCTTCAAGTCTGAAACAGAGTCCATGAAATCAAACAGTATACAACACTGCTGTAACTTCTGACAGAAAAGCTCTTGTTGTTCATTGGAAGTAGCATCTATAAATAAAAACAAAGAAAAACTTAGAAAAAACCTACTCAGAAACTACCTTTAATATGTTTATTAATTTATTAGAAGCTGTTCATACACATAAAGCTTCTCTCAAAAATCTAGTGGGGAAAATAAAAATCTACTGAAAAATTCATCCATCTAATCTCATCATTCATGCCAGAAACCAGAAAACATAATGGACTTTTACTCCTTTCTCACTACCCATAATCAACAATTAAATGTTACTGATTCTGTTTAACATATCTGGACTCTATCCTTCTCCTTGTCATTCCCACTGCCATTTTAATGCCCTTCATCATCATCTAGAATACAAAAGTGATACCCTAACTGCTCCTCTTGCCTGTTTCCATAACTACTACAACTCCTGATTTATCTTCTAAACAATCTTAAAAGCTAAAATCTTGCTAAAAGGAGAAATCAATCTGGTCACACTCAATAATGATCCTCCAAAAATTACAAATTGAAGCTCAAACTCCTCAGGATTGTATACAAAATTCAGCTGTCTACTGTCAACAATCATCTCTTAACACTTTCCAGCACGTACCCTCAGTTTGGTTAAAAATATTCCCTGCAACTTGTGAATATTTTAGTTTCTTCTGCCTGGAATGCCCTTTCCCCCCACATTCCTACCCTGGGAACTCTACCCATTTATTACATTTCAGCAGAAACATATTCCCCTCAGAAACTCTGTCTAAGACACTAAGGCTAACTGGTTAATCCATTTTTATCTAAGTGTACCTTAGGTGTGTATCTCTACTATAACATTTATTGTGCTACATTATATGGCAATTATTGTTTTACAAGTACAACACTCCTAAACTATGAGGCCTCTACAGACAAGAAACAAGTGTGATCTTTATATCTATCTCTGGGTCGGTCTCTCTCTCCCTACCACCTCACATCTAGCACAGTGCCTGGTACATAATAGACATTCAGTAAATGTTTATTGTCATACCCTCTACTTATTACAAAAATATGGGCACACTATATTGATTTGATTCTAACAAATGTATTAAATCCTTTTGTTTCCAATATCTGAAAAATAACAACTTCAATTTTGAACTTTCATGTCTATAAACAAGGACCTTCAATTAGCTCAATTATTTAAATTTATTGACAATTGAAATTAAATTTTAAAAAGTCATGTAGATGTCTACTACACTGATACTTAGTTTGAAAAAGCATAAGATGAATACCTCTGCTTTTTGTAAGCTTCCCAATTATGCTAAACTTATTAGATTGGGTATGTGTTATAACTAGAGAAGGGATGATTATTTGAGCTATAAGAATCCTTCTCAACTCATACTGTACAGAAAATCCCCACAAGTTTTCTCAGTAAGTAATACCTTTTTCTGTTTATAAAGATATTTATATCCTCATTATATAATCTTATATCTTTATTATAACATATATTAGATTTTCATACATAATTAAATTCCATTATAGTGATGGAGAATATAGGGGAAATAAGTGCCATTACCTTTACAAGCTAACTCAGTTCTAACAGTTTTAAAACATTTTTAAGCTATTTTTTCCTTATGCTAAAAGCAATACAAACTCATACAAGAGTCCGTTTTAGACCTAATTCTCTTCTTCCTCCTACTACCCATTCAACATGAAATCACTGCTTTTCTTGTTCTCCAAAGGCCATGTGTTTGCTCAAACTCTTTTCCCTACCTGAAATACCTTACCAGATTTCTTCCCCTATATTTCCAAATCCTACTCACCCTCTAAGAATAAAAAATCTCACATTCTCCACAAAATTTCCCTTAATTAGTTAAGTCAGGATACAGTGATCCCTCCCTTCTCTGAACATCTACAGACAGTACTCACAGTCTCAAACATACTGCTGAGTATGCACTATCTTCAAGCTTGTATTTAACAAATATTTCTTTTTTTACACACTAAAAGATTTCAGGTTCCTCAAAGGCAAGGATCATTCACTGAACAAGGTTCCTTCTTATTTCTTTTACATCTAGTGTAGGGTATATAGTCAACAAATATACATTTGATGTTTGAAAAAACTTTTAAATTTGAGGAATAAAGATTATGCATTAAAAAACAGGCTATAGAATAAGTTCAAATTGGGCTGGATATCCAAAGTGGCAGCGATAGTAAATTATTACATCATATCCATGCTTAAGAATGTATAACAATGACCATTTTTATCAATGACCATTTTTAAAACCATTTTTATTGATGGTAGTTTTAAAGACAATTAAAAGACAATTACGGTTTTCATCAAGAAGTTATTAACTATTTTGCACTTGTAGATGTTTATTATGTCCCAACTCTTAGGTACCTTTCTGAAACACAATTTATTCTGAATTTTCTCATAAGAAAAAAAGAAAAGAAAAGAATACATTTCAATAGTTTGAAAAAAGATCAGGCTATATTCTGGCTATATTTCATAAATATGAATAACAACTTGTGAGAAAAAGAAGGCATAATAATTCTCTTTGTTAAATATAGAAAGGACTGACAAAATCTACATTGGCCACTTCATACTTCACCATTGTAAGAATACTTGCAAATGAAGTCTGTTATTCTCAATGATATTTCAGTTTGGCAATGTCTAATATTTACGCAGTAATGTCACATATTGTTCTGACTTGGTCATTTTTAGTGGGCTAATATTAATTATCCATTTGCCATTTTCTTTTTTTTTTTTTTTTAAGATTTTATTTATTTATTTGACAGAGAGAGATCACAAGCAGGCAGAGAGGCAGGCAGAGAGAGAGGGGGGAAGCAGGCTCCCTGCTGAGCAGAGAGCCTGATGAGGGGCTTGATCCCAGGACCCTAAGATCATGACCTGAGCCAAAGGCAGAGGCTTAACCCACTGAGCCACCCAGGTGTCCCCCATTTACCATTTTCAATGTGGATACTGTCCGTTCCAGTTCCTATGGTGATAGCTTCTTTGCCAGGGATTCTCTATCTGAAATATCCACTGGTGTTTTCTACCAGAAGTTCACTTAGTGGTTTAAAAATAAAATCACCCAGGGAAACATGTAACTTCACAAGAAAAAATAAGAACACCTTATAGTACCTCATCATACAGCAAGTGGAATGGTGGATACACACAGTGTAACTGTTTTGCATCATCCCCTGAGTACAACACAGTATTTGCTTAGTCACCTTAAAATTACCAGAAGAGACCCCAAATTTTTGCTGGAGCAGTTTAAATCAGGTCTTCTTGAAATGATGACGTGTATCTAAATCAAATGGATTGTTAATTTCTTCTAAAATGTATAAATAAATCAGGAACACATAAAGGGTGAGTATTTAAAATCCTAGTGACTGCCATTTAAATGAAGAGAAAAACCCAGTCCTGTCATAAACCTAGAAGTATATTTTGACCTCCCTAAGTATTTACTTGAGAGCAATTTAGACCAGCAATTTTTACTAGTAATTATTATCACAGTGTATCATATTCAACAATTTTAAACACCTTAAGTCTTTAAAATTCCTCAAGGAAATTTGATTACAACTTAAAAATATTATGATCTGAAATACGAATTTACATTATCTCTTCAACAACATCAGAGCTAAGAATTTATTAAAGTGCTCTTCTAGAAAACATTACTAAATCCCCAACATGGGAACAATGGAAAATACAAGAAAAACTGCACAAAGAATTATCTAAAAAACAGATGTGCAGCCTTGCTTTGCAAAATACATAATTGATTTAAACTTGAAGATGAGTTTTTCAAATGTATCTTAACTGTCTTCTATTTTTTCAAGACTAAAATCTGATACCACTAAAAAATTCTCACTACTGTAGAAATCCCTGCAATTTCTTAGGCAGAAGGAGAATCAAGACAATGCTAGGAAAGTGAGACATTTCATCTTTGAAGATTAACACAACGTTTTAAACTCACAAAAGCCCTGGGGCGCCTGGGTGGTGCAGTTGGTTGAGCACCCAAGTCTTGGTTTCATCTCTTGGTTTCGGCTCAAGTCATGATCTCAGAGTTGTTAGACCCTGTGTGGGGAGTTTACTTGAGAAGCTTTCCCTCCCTCTGCCCCTCCAGCCTGTACATGCTCCCTCACACTTGGCTCTCTAAAATAAACAAATCTTAAAACAAACAAAACCCCACAGAAACCTCACAAAAGTCCTGTTAGGTTTCCCTACTTACCTCTAATTTGTTTTTCATTACGCAGTGTGAATATGTATCTGGCTCACATTTTAAGGAACTGCTCTATAGAACTGTTTCTCAAGGTGGGAATTGCAACCCACTGGTGGGTAGTAAGTCATTTTAGTGTGTCATGACCAGAATTTTAAAATATATATAAAATATCAACATGTTGTGGGGCTCCTGGGTGGCTCAGTTGGTTAAATATCTGACTCTTGGTTTCGGCTCAGATCAGGATCTCATGGGTCCCTGAGATCAAGCTCCTCATCCCCACCCCCAGGCTCCTGTGCAGGGGGAATATGCTTGAAGATTCTCTCTCACTGCCCCTCCCTCCACTCCCACATGTGTACTCTTCTCTCTCTTTCTCAAATAAATCTTTAACAAAATTAATGTGTTGCATCTATATGAGTACAATGTGTTTATGAAATGCATTTATTATAGTTTGCAGTCAAAAAGTCTGACAGCCACTGCTTTACAATAAGTACTATTAGAGCCCACACTATGTATGTCCAATATCACAATACAAATCTGTAACGAAAATGGGATCACTTAGAATGCAAGAACAAGTATAAGACTACAGTCTTTGAAATATCAACTGTTCCTCTAGTAGCTGTATTCTAAATCCTTACCCATGTAGAGATTCACAATGCATATTAGAAATGACAAATTTATCTCTTTCCCTTCACTCTAAATAAGACTAAACAGAAAGAATATAGGTGTGTGTGTGTGTGTGTGTGTGTGTAACACTAAAATAACAAAGAGAATGTTCACTAATATTAATAGAAAGTAAAGGATCACAGGCATTAAAGGAAAACCTTGAAACATGGAAGAAAGCTAAATAAACAGGAAAAAAAAAG